GCAGTTCACACACACACACACACACACACACACACACACACACACACACACACACACACACACACACACACACACATTTTTTATTAATTTTTCGTCGGTTGAAAAAAGCTTATTCCTCATATGAGTTAATTTTGAATTATTATTATTATTATTATATTTGTGTATTTAGGCGGCAAATTCTCATTTAGACATGTCTGATTGAATAAATTAGATACATTATGTCTGCTAATTTTTAACAAAATCCGTTCATACACATCCTTTAACATCCATGAGAAGAAGGTAGTCGTGTGTATGAACGGATTTTATGAAAACTTAGCAGACCTAATGACTGTAATTTATTCAATATATATATATATATATATATATATATATATATATATGTGTGTGTGTGTGTGTGTGTGTGTGTGTGTGTGCATGTATGTGTGTTGTGTGTGTGTGTAAATGTATACAAAAATAGGAAAGAACTCGTTAGGTAAATAATCCGATGCTCTTTAGTATTTTTGTTTTTATTTTTAAAAAAGTTCTCGATACAAAAGTAGAGCCAAAATTAGAATTATTTTTAAACATATGATTCCTTCAATATAATTATTAGTATTAAATTAAATTAAAGTATCAAGCTCTGTTTCCTCTTCAAGCGAAATTTTTGGAACAAAAAGTTTTCATCTCTTGTTTTTGAAACATGAGAACCCTTATGTAGCGAAGGAATCATATTTTCAAAAAATAAAAATAATTATATATATATATATATATATATATATATATATATATATATATATAACATAGAAGTCAACACTAGAGGCGACAGTCTGTTTCATGCTAGATGCAATCCTCAGGTGGCCTGAGGATTGCATCTAGCATGAAACAGACTGTCGCCTCTATGTTGACTTTTCTGTTGACTTTTATATTTACACACGCTCTATCTGTGATATTGAGCACTTTATCTCATAAATATAGCATCTTAAGACTATATATATATATATATATATATATATATATATTTGTGTGTGTGTGTGTGTGTGTGTGTGTGTGTGTGTGTGTGTGTGTGTGTGTGTGTGTAATGAAATCACAAATTAACTTATTTGGAGAATAAGTGTATTTCAACCGACGAAAAAAAAATTCTTTCTTCAGTCATAAAAAATTCCGCTATATGTGTGTATGTATGTATGGATGTATGAATTAAATGTACTGAAATGTTTTCGATTCGTACACTCATCCTTGAACGTTACTTTTTACTTTTTGCCTCCACTCGAATACATATTTACAACCGGATGTTTTTATGTTTTTTTTTTCTCAGCAGATGCATTAAAACAACAAGACAGGCAAGTGAATAAAATGTAAAAAAAATATATATATCACTACCTCTTTAAAATGGTAGAATCTTTGAATATTTGAGAAACCATCTTTTGATGAAGTAAACACACAAAACCGCCAAAAACAATCAGTGCTTTCTAAAACCTTTTCCCACGTATAGAATTCGTCAGAACGTGCTTCACATACGCTGCGAGATGTTTACATGTTGAAGCCAACCAATATGCTGTAAAATTTAGTAATGCCAAAGATAGAAGTAAGTTGTAAATTCAAAGAAGCCTTACGCTATGTAGACGTCAAAGGAAATAAGCGTGATATATTTTATGTTGGTTTATATACTCAGCTTATAAAGGAAAATAAATAATGTGTTACATACACTGCTTGAAATTACAATGCAGCCTATGAATGAACGAGAAAAACAGTAAAGAAATCATTTTGGATAAAACACAAATTGGCGTGATGCTGATGACAGACAACAAATAAGAAAATCGGCAACTTTATATAATGAAAGGATGCAAAGATTTAATTCATAGCTAAAACATAATTTATGAAAATAGAAAGAATTAAAAAAAGGAATTATATTCCCTCGATAAAAATAAGACTTATACTAACATAACAGAAAATAACAGGAGGGAAATTCAGGAAAATGTTACTGTATAAAGTCTGAACGCCTAGATGTTTGTCAGTCCTGGGTATGACGATAAACTATATCGGCGTCCAGGGTAGGCTACTGATGAGGAGGCATTGAGGAGCGTGGAACCACCTCTTAATTTCTGGTCTTCCCAGGTCCACCCTGACTCGGGGCGGTAGAACGTGTTAGGGTCTCAGCCATGGGTAAATAGTTAACCTCCAAACATTGGACAAAACACTATACAAAATAGGTTCTAATACTAGCAATACATTTTTGTAAAAAAAAAAAATACTAGCAATAAATTTTTGAAGAAAAAAAAATATTACCACCAATAAAAAATCTTGTCGGCATTAAATAACACATTGGGATTGATATGACGTAAAACAAAATATACTAAACTAAAGCAAAACTAGAAATTTGTCTATATTCCTGACATGAGGCATTTTAACTATTTACACAATTTACATTGTTCGACTGCAGTCCTCATCTTTACTCTCAGATTTACAAGGTTTTGACAGTTGTACGTTCTGGCCTTTGTCAGGTATTATTTTTTGGAATTTCGAACCAAGTCTTATTTAATCCAAGGGGTAGATTGATCTAATTCCACGCGTGGGATATCTCCAGATTAAGTAAACTAAGATATCCAAAGACGTTAGAAAAATCTACTATCGTGGATTATATAAAAGTTTCAGTTCCAAATTCCCAGGAGAAGATCGGAGGGTCTAATTATGGAAAGGTCGCGAATGTGACAGTAAAAACGAGGATATCTGCCCAAACAATATAAATAGTGTAAATACCTAGATGTTTGCATCGATTGTTCTTCAAAATTCTAATATATATCCCCTGAAGAAAGCCGGAGTGTACAACTACGGGAAGGTCGCGAATGTGACAGTAAAAACGAGGATATCTGTCCGAGCAATATAAATAGTTTAAATACCTAGATGTTTGCATCGATTGTTCTTTTTTACTTTGTAACTTCCCTTCAGATGATAATCGATTCCAGTTCTTCACAGGTCCTTTTCTTTTGTAACTCTAAAGTTTGACTTTTTCCACTCCTCTATTTTCCTATTCTGCTATCCCTCCACACAAACGCGTTAAATGTGTTACTCAGTGTTTTTACCTATCTTCTCTTATATATAATATGTCCTGTGAATGCTAAATTCTCTAGGCTTATTTCTTAGTGTGTCCCAGAAATTTCAATTATTTTTTTGCTCATTATTTGTAAAATTTTCCTTGTTGTTCTTATTTTTCTTAAAAGTTCCTCGTCGGGCACATGTTCCCTCTATGGTATTCTTAGCAATCGTCGGTAGAACATATCTCTGTTGTTTCAAGCTTCTTCGTCTCTGATAAAAATTCCATGTCATATACACATCATTAGGTTGACATCTTTATTTTTTTTTTTTTTGTAACACTGAAATTTATATCTACCGACCGAGTGATCGAAATTAAAGAAACTTAGTCTTAGATTAACATTATTTAGACTATTCATATTCAGACTATTGTCCTTATCTAGTGGATTAAATTGTAAGTTCGTGAATGTGGTGACATAGTGGTAGCAAATCCAATCTCTAGGTTAGGCAATGGATTCAGTGGAAACGGGTGAGCAATAACTGAGCAGTACTAAAAATAAGAATTAGACGATATCCACGGTATATGAACTATGGGCCGGGAGAAGTCTCGCTCTGTAGATTAAATAAAGTGTTCTGTTCAGAATACTTTGTACTTTAGCCAGATCAATATACTACTGAGAAAAGTTGAAAGACACAATGATGGAAACGTAGTGATATTAACACACACAAAACTGCTCTCTATTAATTACCACAGAGAGCCTTCCCTTCCCTCCATTAGAATGGTTGACGCTCAACTTCTCGAGAGCAACTCTTTGCGGCTTCTCGGTCTCACGTTGACTGCTGACCTGAGATGGAATAAATACACAGAGTCAATTGCCTCGTCCACTGCAAGGAAAGTTGGCTCCCTGAGCCGCGCTAGGAAGTTTTTCTCCCCGGAGTGGATCCTCCAGATCTACAAATCCACAATTCGCCCTTGCATGGAGTATTGCTGCCATATATGGTCTGGTGCCCCTTCTGTTTGCCTCGGGGTTCTTCATAGGCTCCAGAGGCGGATATGCAATATGGTTGGCCCTGCCCTGGCATCTCGCCTACAGTCTCTTTCTCACAGACGCGCCGTCGCCTCCCTCTGTTCTACAAATACTTTCATGGAAATTGCTCCGAGGAGCTGCATTCGCTGGTTCCCAGACGCCATGAGTTCCAGCGCCCTACGAGGCTGGCATCCCGCTCTCATCCCTTCACTGTCGAAACTCCTAAATGTAGACGTCTCTTCTACTCTTATAGCTTCATGTCTCGCACCTCTCGCCTGTGGAACTCCCTTCCCTTCTCCTGTTTCCCTGTGAGCTATAATCTCCAGCTATTCAAGTGTAATGTCAATCGACATCTCCAGTTGCCTTGATCTATCCACTACCCTCATCCTTTCTTCTATCACTCCTATCTGATCTTGCTCTAAATTTTCTGTAATCCCTTGCGTCCTAGTTGCTTCCTGCCTTGCTTGGGGTGAAATGCTTAAAAAAATATAGTCAAAATATGGAGACCGTAAATAACGATAATTCCTTATGCATGAACTTCAGACAGAAACTGAACGAACTTGTATTCCATTTTTATCTAAGACATCACCGTTAATCCAGTCCTGTTTTACCATTTAGCTGTCCGAAACCTTACAATAAAACAAGGCTTATATATCCTATATCAGAAATGCCGATCTGTCGGTGAGTGATTTCGAACAGTCTATCATTCTGTTGCTCCCTATACGAAAGCCCCCAATCTGCTACTGAGTAGCATGTCACTAGCGTTTGCCGCTGGTGGCCCGCTGTCATTTCGACAATACCACCACTGGCGAACTAATGTTGGCCTACCGGTGTCATGCCGGTAGCTTCCACCAGAGGACAGTTGACATTACTATTGTCGGCACGCCAGAGGCCACTAGCGGCTTGCGTGTAGTGTATTAGTTACTGAGTTTCGACTGAAACATTATAGCATTACTATCCCAGTATCTCTCTCTCCCTCTCTCTCTCTCTATCTATCTATCTATGTATCTATCTCCCGAAACTAAAGCCAATACACGAAGCTTAGAACGGCTCATTATCAAACATATTAGACATTCGCTGTCTGTTATATTTAACAATATATACTTGAATAATAATCTGCTGCCCCAATACACTAAATTCAAGTTACATGATGCCGCTGCATTAAACGATACTAACACCAAGAAATTTCAATGGAGCCTCATTAAACGACAAATAAACACAGCCAAACAGAAATTACAACGAATCAACACTGAAATTGTATTTATTAAATGAATCTTACAGTCTTCTACCACTACTGAATAATTCAAGGAAATATTGGATTTATAACATAATACAACGCAAAAGGAAAATTACTCTCATAAATAAGTCATCCAGTAAAAGCTAAACAAATTATATAAGTGAAAAATACGTCTACCATTCACCAACGTCAGTTTCATCAATCTATCGGATAACCAACTCATTCCAAATGAAATGGAATTGCTTCATCTTGGACCAAATATTCATGTCGAATAGTAACCTAATTTAATGTTTAAACAAACGCAAATTGGAGCTTTATATCACCAAATACTTCTATTGCAACAAGATAACCATGTTACTACACAGGTAGGTTTAAAAGAATTACTTAAAACCGAATCTATTAAACACCGGTACCATAAAAATCCGAATTGAATTATAAACACCAATTTAAGAAAAGCAGCCACATATCTAAAAAAAAAAATTAAAGATAAAAAACACAACAACAGTATTGCTATCCGACGAACTGATGAAACTAATACTTTCTTTATTTTAAACAAACATGAGTTCCACTCAAAATTACAGGCCATTGTGGACGATCACAATAAATTTAAATGTTAACAAATAACGCCACCTGTGACCTTAAAAAACATATTGATAAACTTATTACAGTTAACATTGTTGAAACAGGATCCTATAACTTTTGAAGTTTATAGGACTATCAACCTGGCTACCTTTAAGGAAATGTAAAAAAAAACTGTAAAAAAGATCATCCCCTCCGACCTATCATATCACAAAGTCCTGCAACAGCATATTACCTTTCAAAAATCATTAAAAAAATACTTACTCCCTACCTCTCAAGTAAACGAATTTATACAAATTCTTCATGCTGCAAAACCAAACAGCCAAATAATCGCATCTTTGGGTGTACAAAATTTACTTACTAATGTCTTTATCCATGAAACGATTGACATCATTATGCGTGATGTATACAATTACACTTCTCTCCGACCCATCAATATTAAACTCACTATTTTAAAGTAAATTATTATTAGCGTGTACCAATCAAGTACCATTTCGTGACCTCGTAAGCAATACTTATATTCAAATAGACGATATCGTGAAGGGATCTCCTTTGGGCTCCCTTTATTTCTAATTATTATATAGCAGATTTAAAAATTAAAATACATAATGATACTAATAACCCCACTATATATGTAAGATACATGACATTTTCATTTTAGCTAAAAATATTGATCAGATTACACAACTGAAAAACAAATTTGAAAGACACTCCGTCCTCAGATTTACACTAGAATTCAATATTAACAATAAAATTGCATTCCTTGATGTATTTATTGATTCCAGCACACATAAATGTACTACTTCTTTATATAGAAAACCCACTAGCATTAAATCGTGTCTTCTAAATTATAATACTGATTGCCCCAACAATATAAGTTAGCTGTTATAAAAAAAATAATCCAGCGCACACAAGCGCACATCAACAAATTAAATATATCTCAATAAACTTAATAATACCACTAATTTGATAATATTAATATCAATTGTAACCATAATAATGTCCATCAAAATAAACATACTACTAATAAACCAAATGCATAATAATTACAAACATGATGAAGCAACACTCAAACCCAATAGGTAGAAATGTTAAACCCATTAATAATAATAAACAATTTAAGTTCATTATATATTATAAAAAATTAAAACAATTGACTTTATAGTCTTTAATAACCCTACAACCATACAACTTAATCCTCTACAAAAACCAATGTAGTGTATCAATTTAAACGTTAGTTCAGAGATTTTATCTCTGATACTAATAATACACCAACTACATATTTTGCTTTTGTTACAACCACGCTCTGCCGTAGATTTACGTGTAACCTTTCTGATCTTAGTTCCATTAAACAATATTTCTTAGAAAAGCATAGCCATGTATATAATATTAGACAGAGATTAGTTGATAACACAATAATAATCACACATACACACAGTAAAATAACCTTAAAATTTACATTAAAACAAAGCAATACACATTCAACATTAAAACAAAGCAACACACACTCAACAAAATTACATTTCAATCCAGTCAAAACATATTACAATGCATTTAAACATATGGTTCTGTTGATAATATATTATCTCTCAAGTGGTCATGTACGACGTCATAGAACTGCATTACGTTTGCTATTTATCATCGCATTGCAAACATCTATGTAAACATAATAGGATGTCATCTTTGATGGTAAATATCTCTGTTGTAATGTCCATATAGAGATTGTGATGATGGCTCATGTGAGCTGAAAGCTTAGATTGAGAAACAGCATAATAAAAAATATCCAACTGTTGGACTGTTTTTGTCTTTATTTTTCTCCCGAAACTAAAGCCAGTGTACGAAGCTTAGAACAACTCATGATCAAATATAATAGACATTGATTGTCTGTTATATTTAACGATATATATTTGAATAATCTATCTATGAATATATACTTTTAGGATTATTGTTTTATTCAATGTCATCAAAATTACATAAATTATTACTTCGTAAAGAAAAGAACGATGAATAAACTGAATGTTCATACTGAGATATTTCTTATAGGGAATTATATTTTAATAGAGAAGAAAACTATGACATTTCACTATTAAATTATGTCGATAAAATGACTTTCAATGCAGTCTATGCTCATAATAATTGTAGTCTGCTTTATTTTTAGAACATGAACTGATTCTCAGATATTCTAAAGTACAGCACAAAAATATTGTCTTGATTTTTTCGGAGAGACGGTGTCAGTAAATATCATTGCTACGTAAAACGCATAGATATTCAAATTTCAAATAGTCATACATGTTTAATAATATTTGTTTATTATTTTTAAATATCGGGCACGTAAAACAGTAGATTATTAATATATATATATAACTTTTTCTGCGAATTTAATTTTGTAATATAAAATAATCAGCCTTCTATAAAAGCTAAGTTATTCTACTGAACAATAAAAAAATCATTTATAGTCTGACAAATATATGGAAATGATTTTCATTTCATTAATTTCCCAAATCTTAAGTCTGAATTTTATTTATTCATGAAAGGCTAGCAAATAATTTTTCGTGCGAAGATTGAGGAACATAATTTTCAACATCAATCGCAGGAGAAGGCCCGGTAGTCGGGAAGTATATATGGCCTTGGGAAGCGTCCTCTTCACATTTTTTGCTTCCGGACTGATATTGCGTAGGATTTAACATTTTATATTCTGGGCTCCACTGTCGCCCTCTAATCTTATTTATTTCACTGGCGATGCTAGAATCCACAAGGGGTTAGGTTTTTCGTCTTGTATCAATTATGAGAACCCCGACTTTTAGTCGACAAGTGACTGCGTTTGAAAACGGTAGTATGCGAAAAAAAAGAAAATCCATAATTATATATATATATATATATATATATATATATATATATATATATTTTTTCATGCATTACTGGTTAAATAATATCGACAAGCTTTGTCTATCAATTTTCTTATTAATGTTTTTCAAATTTCCGAATTAGTTCTTTTATATTATCGGTGAATTTGTCAAATTTATATTTATTTTTTATTTTAAATTATTTTTTCGATTACTTTCGAATGTTGCTACATTCGTTTTCAGGATTGTTCTATGTATATTTCCGCAATTGTTTTTGCTTAATTCCAGCATTCTTATATTTGATGGAACCAATTTCCAATTTGCGAATACCGGAATAAACAAAATCACTTGAGAACATATACAGAGAATGATCCTTGAATTCTAAAGTACAGAGAAAACATATTTCAAAATAAAAATATATATGATCTTTTTATATTATTTAACCAAACGTGAAATAATTTTTTTTGTCCATATATAAAGTCATCCACAGACAGACTATTTCGCTGTATCACACCTCATCGGTGTGGCTAGACGTCCTGTTGCCTCTAGCTAGGATCGAAACCCGACTGAATTGGCGTCAGTCGGAGATTCTACTAATAAGCCGTCGGCGCACGGCAGCTGTAACAGTATTTAATTTTAGATAAACACACAGTGACTGACAGGACTCGATTCGCTTTACCGAAGAGTCTTGCATGAAACCCTAAAGACTCAAGAACAACCTTCCTAGGCTTCAATTAAATGGATCTTGTCACGTAGCAACGATTTCATTAACCATATAGGCGTTAGGCTAAAGTAAAATCTTAAATAAAGAGAAAATTAGTTAGATATAAAAGAAAGATAAATAAATAGATAAAAACAGAAATTTAATCCAATGCTTCAGAGTCGCGAGCGAATATATTCTATGATCAGCCATACCCCCCCTCTTCTCTTCACAAATTCTTTCTCTCCTTATTCTCTCTTCCACTCACGAGCCCAGGGCCCGTGAACTTAGAAGTGACCGACGCGAGGATGACCTTGTTCTAAGATTTCGCGTTTGACCATGAGTAAACTCCAGACACCATCAGGGTCTCATGCTGCGATTCACGTGATCGGGACGTACGGAGCATGCGTTGAACTTTTGGCCATCACACAAACACTGCGTGATTTGCGCCCTATTCTCCTGCGTACCCGGTCAAGGACGAAGGGAACCCACGTGACTGTCTGTGGGGACAGCGAAAACCAAAGAAGGATTTTTCAGTTTTCCTCTAACCAGCGGCAGTTGAACGTCGCTGGGCAAAAATCGTCAGACCGCCCACTGAGATGAGGAAGACCACGAAGTCTATCGACTGATGATGGATGGGCTACTATGGACTGATCAACCCAACCA